GGTCTAGAATTTAAACTTAATGAGTTAAATCTTTTAAGTTTCGTAGCATTGAATTCGTTGTACATTTGAAATCATGGGTTCAAAATATAATATTTGTTGAAGTACTAATTTACCACATATGGTTTGCTTATATGCATAACTCTAGGTAAAAGGAGGAGGTTGAAGTTAGAGGCGGATCTAAAATTTAGATTTAATGAGTTAAACCTTTTAAGTTTCACAGCATTGAATTCATTGCACTTTTAACATTATGGGTTCATAGTTTAATGTTTGTTGAAATTGTACTGATTTACAACATATAGTTTGCTTATCTACACAACTCTAGATAAAAAAGGAGGTTGCGAGTAGAAGTGGATCCAAAATTTAGATTTGAAGAGTTAAACCTTTTGAGTTTCGTAGCATTGAATTCATTGCACTTTCGAAATTATGGCTCAAAATTTAACATTTGTTGAAATTTTACTAATTACTATGTTCAGTTTGAAGTAGGTTGATGGTCAGTGTTAAAATAGTCAAACCGTGTTGATTTCTGTAATACAAAGGTATAAAGTATTCGTAGCATAGACCCAAGTTAGTTTGGGATTGATAAGTTGTTTAGCTGAGTAGATAGTAAATGAATTTGTAACTAGTTAATGGATGATGGGCCTTTGTTATTTTAGGTAAATACTCTTTGAATTCAACTACTTTTAGAGTTTTAGTTTTATCTTTGATTGTTTGATTCTAGTTTTCTTTCCTTTGATTGAGAGAAATATAAATCTGTAATCTATCTATTAGGTGAATACTTGAATAATTGCAAAATAAACTACGGTATACACTTGATTATATAAATGAGTTCAAAAACTTGAATATCCTAATGTAGTTTCTTGTGACATTTGTCTCACTTTCTTTTCAAGTCCTTTTCAAGCTATGATTTGTAACTATTTACTCACTATGTTACCTTTGTGCACTTTCTTTTTTTGGGGGAAGTGTATGATAGGTAGGAAAAACTCTCAGTGAAAGAAGATGGAATGCTGCATTCTCTCAAGAGGGCTACTTGGACATAGCAGGTGTTCTTAGACGAATCCATCGAGGGGTAAATCTTTTTTTTTCCTCTCTTGTACAATGCATATTCTGAATAAATCAACTATGCCACATTGTAATTTAGCGCTAGTTCATGTTGTCGATTCTTTTTTGGTAACTCCATCTTTAGCTTTAGATAGCAATTTCATGGCTTTGGCCTAGTTGAACAATTCTGATCCTCATACGACTTGTCGTTAAGCACAAATTAATCGGCTTTTTTTGTTTGTTTGTTTATGGGTGAATGCAAACAGTTAATATATTTTTTGTCCCCAAGTGAGATTTTAACTTGAACCGGATTCCATTATATACTGTACATTCTTTAATTGCCGGACTTTTGGTGCATAATAGGCCCTCATTTTGTACAAGTGGTGAACTGCTGAAGGTGAAAAACTTCACGGAAAACCAACTTCATCAGTTTCTCCTGCTCAGTCATCTCCACTTATGAAAGGATTATGCCATTACCCATAACAAAAATAGAAGGATCTTTCCATTTATGATTTTCCAGCAATGACATTCCATTGGGAGCCTTAATAGGAGAATGTTTAAAGATCCTCTTTTTGTGTTAATGGTAGAAATTTATATTAATATAACAAGTTATAATTGCTAACACAAATAATAATAAAGGGGAAACAGCCAGTTCTCTTATTCCCGAGCAACAATTGTTTTTATCCACGCTACAATCGCTTGTTGGTTTGAGTTTAGACAGTTTAGAACAGTCTAAATTATACTAACGCTTATCTGGTAAAATTATTCATGGCGTGGAATAACATTTGGGCATAGCATTGATTAGGCTTCTACAAACTATTCCCTCCAGTTCAATTTATGTGAACCTATTTAGCGATGAAGACTTTTGAAACTTGTGGCACTAAACAATTCATAACTTTTGTGTGGCTATAATTCTTTTGAATTTGTGGTCTAGAATATGCCATAGTTTTTGTGTGGCTTTAAAAGCTTCTCATTGAGGGTAAAATTAGAAGTTTTAAGTTAAATTGTTTCCAGATTTAGAAATGGGTCATCCTTTTTAAAACAGACTTAGAAGTAAATAGGTTCACATAACTGTAATTGAGGAAGTATATATTAGGCGGATAATCTGATCCACCTCTAGCACGTCCATTCAGTTCATTATAAGAAACAACAACAATACTCGATTTATTGCTGTTTAGGTGGAAACTTATATCTTAAGAAGTCTGATGCTTATTTAATTATTCTGTGAATGCTAGGGGATTCATCCATCAATAAAAGGGGCTGTCTGGGAGTTCTTGCTGGGTTGTTTTGATCCCAATAGCACCTTTGAGGAAAGAAATGAGCTTAGACAACGACGAAGGTAATCTAACTCACTTCAGCTATAACCAAAGAGTTAAACTAGTTTAATGTAAATAACAAATGTTAGAAGTAAAAATCAGCAATCAAAACTATAGGGGTTATGCATTGAATTTTGTTCAATTTGATTCATGAAACCATGCAACTGTCAAAGGGCCCTCGATGTAAATTACTCCCTCTATTTTATGTGATTGGGCATGGAGTTTAAGAAACAGAGACAGATTTTTCAAACTTGTGGTCTAAAATGAGCCGTGATATTTGTGTGGCTATAAATCATTTCACTAAGGGTGAAATGAGCTTTTTAAAGTTAAATTGTTACTAAATATAGAACGATGTCATTCTTTTTAGGACTGACTAAAAGGAAAGAGTGTCACATAAATTGGGACGGGGGAAGTATGCAACAAATTTCTCACGTTCATTGAGCTATTCATATCAAAGTGCAACTTTAGGTCAGAGCATCGAGGTGAACCAACATGGACTCGGCCAGTGAGTCTTGTTTAATTAAAGCTCTCCATAAGGTCGAATAAAAATGGGCCAAGTGTCTTAGTTTAAGCTTGGTTTAGTTGATGTTCATATAAGGTCCCTTCGCTACAGGTGCTAGTGGAAATTAACCCCTTGATCATTAAATTCTCCGATATCTTGATTCTTGAGTCTTGACATTAGATTGAAAATGAGTGTTGCAAAACAGTTAATTGTGTATTATGTTTATTAGACCTGACTCCAAAGGGAAAAAAAGAAGAGTGAAGTAAAAATGTGTTATTGCCTGGAAAACAAAATTTATAACATGATACCGTCACTATCAGCTGAAAAGACACCCGTGCCTTCTTCTTCCTCCTTATAGCGGGTTTTTCCATTTGGGTAAATTCTTACAACCTACTTTATAAGTGGCCTAAAAATCTAAACTTGTATCCTCAGAGAGCAGTATGCTGCATGGAAATCTGAATGCCAAAAGATTGTACCTGTGATTGGCAGTGGGAAATTTACCACAAATGCTATAGTCACTGATGATGGTCAACCTACAGAGCATGCGGACACTTCCAGTGATGCACAAGATACTAACAGTGCCCTCCCAGTCGCTAATGGCGTTTGTGACAAGAGAGTTATTCAGTGGAAGCTTAACTTGTCTCAAATTGGTTAGAACTTGTGCCACTACTATTCTCTAGTTTCAATATGCTAACTTTATACATTCTATAATTGCTGTGGAGCTCCCTATATCTATCTTTCTATCTCTGCCCGTCTCTTAGAAAAACTTGAATGTCAATTATACATTCTCTTTCAAGTCCGTCTGTTAAATGTTTTTTGTTCGTGTCCTCAAATACATTCCAGTTTGAACAATTAATTCCCAATAATCAACTGTTTTCCCACTTTGCTCTTCATGAATTATGCTTTTTCGACTGAACTTAAATAGTTAACATACCTATTACTTTGATGTAGTTATTTGTCGTGCAGAATATAACCAAATTTTATTGACCTAAAGATGTTTGTTCCTTACCCCCACCCACCCCCATTGGATATGGTATTTGAGATGAAGGGATTGATACATGCAACACTGCTTTTCCAACATAATAATTATGTGTGAAAAATTTGTGTCAATTAGTCATTGTATAGTCCAATGAAATTCAGTTGCGGGGGAAGAAGAATTGAATGTTGAAAGAGCGTTTAGATTTTGAATGAGCGACTCAACCTTTTGATATTTCTTTGGAACTGGTCATTTATCACTACTGAGCTGCTACAAAATACAGATGAAAGACTATGAAAGGTTTTGGTTAGAGAGATGTGCTATGTTCAACAAGTGCTGAGACAATGACATCTTTTTCTTCATTGCTTGTTGGACTCTAGATGCTGAGTTAAAGAGGGAACATGTCACTTAAAGAGATAATAAGTGGCAAAAACGTGAAATTGCAATCTCCTAGTGGAATATTGTTATTGCTTAGTGCACTATTGTTTGGCTTTGGTAAGGAAGCTAGTTCATCAATTGTAGACTGATTTTCCTGAAAATATCTGATACTGTAATGGCTTATGATGTTGCTTTAGGTCTGGATGTTGTTCGCACAGATCGTGCTCTTGTATTTTATGAGAATCAAGCTAATCAGGCAAAACTCTGGGACGTGCTTGCT